ATACGTACTTCGTCCTTGTCATCCATAGTTATCTTCTGTTAACCTAGAAAAAAAAAAAAAAAGAAAAAAGAACAAGAAATCGTATTTCCCTAAGTGCGTAGCTTATCTGAGAAAGGAAATTCCACTTATTTGAGACAAGCTTGAGTAATTATTACTCAATAATCTCTTGACAGTTTCCACGTATTTGTGTCCCTATTATTAAACCTAACCTTGGGGACACTCGATCTTTATCGTTATCAACAGATCGTAAGTCAGGACCTAATCTGTTTGTATTGCAGTCGTAAATAAGCAAAGTTGGAGCTGGTTCACTTCTGTCTCACACTCCTCGTGGGAGAAACTTTCGAGAATCAGATAGTATTAAAATTCTGCTGTTGAATATGTTCAAAGTTTTGATACGCAACATAACATACTGCAATAACATAGTGTCAAAAGAAAAAAGTTTTATATTTCTTAAAATTATATATTTTATATTTTTCAAATTTTATATATACATATTTTATTATATTTTGTTTATACTATATTTAAATATTTTTTTATTATATTACATATTTTACTATATTTTATTTATATTATATTTATATATTTTTTATTATATTACATATTTTACTATATTTTATTTATATTATATTTATATATTTTTTATTATATTACATATTTACATATTTTATTATATTTTATTTATATTATATTTATATATTTTTTATTATATTACATATTTACATATTTACATATTTTATTATATTTTATTTATATTTATATATTTTTTTATTATATTACATATTTTATTAATATTTTATACATCTTTTCTCAATTTTATTGCTTTTCTTTTCGTTGCCTTGAAATATTCTAAAATGCCCCAAAATATATATAATCTTTTCACCCAAATTTCGCAATAAATAGCGAATTTCCTTTTCTTTTTTTTTTTTTTTTTTTTTTTTTGTTTTCTGCGCGCGATAAGTATATTCGACATCGAGCAAAAAAATTCCACCTTTTCACGACGAGTATATATACTTCACGTAAACGCTCAAGGGGTTAATCGAAGTTGGGCTTCACCTCCTGTCTAGACCAGTTCGTTTCTCCTTTTCTCTGCCACGAGAGACTATGGTCGCGTCTATGGCGATTCCCATGGCTGATAACGGGAGCGGGTGGGCCCGCAGCGAGCTTGCACGGGGTGGTCGCCAGGCCGCCGCGGCGGAGCGTTTGCCTCGCAAGCGCCGAAAGTTCGTATTGATCGCTTTTAGCCCATTTCGTATCAAGTTCAAGTCCGCAGTGTCCTTAAGTTTTCTGCGAAGGAAACGAGAGGGAAGTTCCTTTCTCCTCCGAGGATATCGACTGCACGGAGCGTGGCCCCGAGGCCTACCATCGCTCGATAAGACGAGAGAAAAGAGGAAGCACACCCCATCCCCTCCCTCGCTCCTCTTACCTGCGTCTTGGCGAAGAAATAACGATCCCTCTCTACGTTCCGGTTAGAGCGATTCGACGTCCGGTTGAGGCAATTTCGGGTTAAGTGGCAAACGATTATCGAGGATTTTAGAACGGTGTTGGAATTAAAAAGGACGTTCGGGGGATGAATTTAATTTCTCTTGAGGGATGAATTTCTCGAGGATTTCAAGGATTGGTCGTTAGGTTTTTAAAATATGCAACGTTCACGTTTTAGGCATGTGTCGCATCTGAATGTGCTAATTGTATCTTTTCGAGAGATGAGTTTAATTTAATAGATGATTATTTCTAATGAAGTAGATAATTAGTTTTCTTTTTGCTTTTTATGAATATAAAAGAATATAAAAAGTTATCTTGCGAAGAATAAATGGCGAAATGACGTTTATTCGCAATCTCGTTGAACTATTTTTTCGTTATTTACATTATTGTATATTGCATCGTGTTTAATTATCTCTGAAAAAAGATAATTCTTGCTCCCGAGAGATGAATTTGATTTTTCTTTTGGAGGGGATTTTTCTTTCTCGCGGATACTTATTGTTTTTCACTTCTTTGTGAAAAATACAATCGTTTAAATTTTACTAAAAGGCGAAACGACGTTTTGTAATCTCTGTTAATTATATTGTTATCACTTGTTACATCGTGTTAATTATCTCTATTAAACGAAATCTTTGCAAGAATATCTTCTATACTTGAAAGATAAAGCTATTTCGTGGTAATTGTTACAAATGGCAAGCAGAAAGACACTATTATGGCACATTCTTCGTAAGAATATTTTTATTATTTTAACAACATTTTATCATTACATTTATAGATAAACAATTATTTTTTTCTTTTAATGAAAGGACATTCTTAACCTTCTGAAACCTTAATTTCATAATTGTCATTATACTCTTCAATATTTCCGCGGCATCCAGTCCACGGAGCCCTTATTATTCCAAAAATAGAGTCGGTTTGCCCCGGTTTCTGGTGACTAACAAGGCTCCGGCCGGTCATTATCTATTCACGTATTCGTTAGCGATAAAAGGTTGACCGATTTCGAAATCCGTCTTTATCATTGCAAACGTTTCGCATTATCGTTTGAGAAAATATTTTCTCAGGTTCTTCGCGCGTACGATTCTCTACGGATATTTGGCCTGCGCTTCATTTCCGGTGATAAGTGAAAGAGAGAGAGAGAGAGAGAGAGAGAGAGAGAGAGAGAGAGAGAGAGAGAGTTTGTGTGTGTATGTGACGAACGTACCTGTGATCTCTCTACGTTTTCATATATTTTTTCTTCCTCTTTTTTTTTTTCTTTTTTTAATACGCCTCCGTAAATATTTGCCATCGTCAAATGCTGAAAATATTTTCACCATTTCACGTGTCGATTGACATTCGGACCGCGTGGATTGAAACGTATCGATCGAACGAAATAAAATGGAGCAAAGAGAGCAGCGATTCCAGAGTGTAATAATTGATCGCTGAATTTATTTGATCGCAGCCATTTGACATGTTTGACAGGAGTATCTAGCATTTGATACGATGCTAATTTTATACGGAATTTCCCTTTATATATTAACAATGTACAATGTATTTTATATTATCTTATATGAAATTACGAAATTATAAAAGTTTAAGATTAAATTTAAAAGAAAAAAAAAAAAAAAAAAAAAAAAAAAAAAAAAAAAAAAAAAAAAAAAAAAAAAAAAAAGAAAAAGAATGAAGTCCGATATGATTTTCAGTCTCGACGCTCAAAAGTATGAAGTTAGTGTCGAGTACCAAAGAAAAAAAAAGATTGACGAATTTAATTTTGAATTTTAATTTAAAATTGAGTTTGATTAAATTAAATTTTGAATGCTAATTAATTTTCAAACTCAGTGCATTACTTATAAGACAGTAAAACACTTGAACAAACTTAAAATTATTATTCTAAAATTGTACTAATTATCTAACATTACTATGAGATTATTATTCCAAATCATTAATCTGCCTGATCGAAGTGGAATTCTTACGTAAATTATATTTACGCGAATTATACGAAATGATCGATTGACAAGAATCCTTCGAAGTGCATACGTTCGAGTGTCTTCTAATACGTATATATGTATGTGCGTGACTTACGAAACGTCATTTTCAAAAATGACTGGCGAAGAATGACTGGCGCGACGTTTACATTGCGACGAGATAAAACAGCGATTCGAAAGCGTTTATCGGACAGGAAATGACGAGTACGCGTTCGCGTAACCGATTCGTAACACAACTTTACCAATGTGTACAACTACCTCATTTGCTCGTCAAACAGACGACGATTTCCCCCTCCAAATACAGAGTCACCTGAAAGACTGAATGACATAAAACAGAAACAACGTTTACAAACACGTGTTTTTTAATTAAATTTTTTATTATTTTATTTGGAAATACAATTAATGGCTTATTTTCAGTAGACTGAATGATAAAAAAAAAAATAACTTTTACAAACACATGTTTTTTAAATTTTTATTATTTTATTATTTTATGTTTTTTTTTAAATTTTTATTATTTTATTATTTTATATGTTTTTTTTAAATTTTTATTATTTTATTATCTTTTTAAATTTTTATTATTTTATTATCTTAAATTTTTATTATTTTATTATCTTAAATTTTTCTTAAATGTATTTCTTAATTTTTTATTATTTCATTTGGAAATACAATTAGTGGATTTTTTTTCAGTACACTGAATGATGCAAAACAAAAATAACTTTTACAAACACGTGTTTTTTTAAATTTTTTATTATTTTATTTGGAAATACAATTAATGGGTTATTTTCAGCAGACTGAATGATATAAAACAAAAATAACTTTTACAAACACATGTTTTTTAAATTTTTATTATTTTATTATCTTATATGTTTTTCTAAATTTTTATTATTTTATTATCTTGTATGTTTTCTAAATTTTTATTATTTTATTATCTCATGAGTTTCTTAAATTTTTATTATTTAATTATTAATTTTTTATTACTTCAATCGGAAATACAATTAATGGATTTTTTTTTCAGTACACTGAATGATGAAAAACAAAAATAACTTTTACAAACACGTGTTTTTTTAAATTTTTTATTATTTTATTATCTTATATGTTTTTCTAAATTTTTATTATTTTATTATCTTGTATGTTTTCTAAATTTTTATTATTTTATTATCTCATGAGTTTCTTAAATTTTTATTATTTAATTATTAATTTTTTATTACTTCAATCGGAAATACAATTAATGGATTTTTTTTTCAGTACACTGAATGATGCAAAACAAAAATAACTTTTACAAACACGTGTTTTTTTAAATTTTTTATTATTTTATTTGGAAATATAATTAATGAATTCCTTCAGTAGACTGACTGATATGAAACAAACATAACTTTTACAAAAACGTGTGTTTTTAATGTTTTATTATTTCATTTGGAAATACCATTAATAGATTTTTTTTCATTATCACGTAGTGAAACACAACATGACCACCATTTTGAAAATGAACGAATAGTGACTTTTTCAAGCCCTTCAGCTTTTCAGTGGCCACCCTGTATAATGAAACGAGACAGAGGAGCCAGCTGGTCTTCCGAGTAGTGTGTCGTCAACAGTGACATAGTGCCAAATGTTTCTGCAAACTTGTGTGATTCATTTGGATTATCGATCATGCTTATACAGAGTGGATCACACTACATATTGCCATCTAGATTTACGTCATTATTGTTACGCGTGGCGAAAAATGTTTCAGATGAAGTTGAATGGTTTCGAGAGGTGCACGTTTTGATGATGCTAGTTCTCTTGCAGGATGGACGTATAGAGGACACATAAAGGTCATTTTTTTAAATGGAATCATATACTTTTTATTGCATCAGTTCAGGAGATATTTTAATTTTAATTTTGTAAAATCTATGCGTGAAAGACAAGGAATAGTATAAATATAAGTATAAACAGTATAAATATAAGAATACTATCCTTCGTCTTCCATGTCTCTCATACGATAATTTTGAAAAAAACCAAAATTGAAATTAAAATATCTCCTAAACTAATGATTTTTTAACACAAATAGGTTAATACTTTTTTTGTAAAGGATATCAAGGTGCATCAACTGATGCAATGAAGAATACATGATTCCATTTAAAAAAAACGTTAGTGACCTTCGCATGTCCTCTACACGTCCACTCTGCAAGAAAACTAGCATCATCAAAACGTGCCTCTCTCGAAACCACTTCAACTCCATCCGAAACATTTTTCGCTACGCGATATAATAATAACAATGACGTAACTCTAGATAGGGAATATGTGGTGTGACCCACCCCTGTATATTCGAGTGTCCTGAATTTATGAATCTTATTTGTCGCTCAGTCATCGAGAGATAGAGAGAGAGAAAACAAGCACATGTATATTATATCTTCGTGTCGTTCGTTCCAAGTAAGTCATTTGTAACGTCACGTTATCGAAGAGATATACGCAATTAAGATGTCGAGCGGGTATCGATTTCAGTTCTGGGATCGTTTTCAAGTCCAGGAATACTTGGGTGAAGTTGATTCGATTAACAGTAGCTTCATCGAACGTTTATTTGCACGTAGAGGAAAACTGGTCTTGTAGCTTTCAGCTTGTTGATTGTCGGCTCGAAGATTGTGCGTAGTAGACACGTGGAGAAATTATACATTTTGTTCTAATATGTTCTCGACTAGCTGTTAAAAAAGTAAAAATAACTACGACGTGATTATAGATTTATGCATATATATAAATTACGATAGGGCGTTCCGCTCTCTGTGATTTTGTTCATTATGTTTACAGAGTGGACAAAATTTTTGATTGCACTTGTTGCTGAAAGTATTGTCACGAAAGTATCGTGTCGCGATCAGATATTCTGTTCTTACATTTACAAACTGGATAGTTTGTAAATGTTTTGCAACAATTTATTATAATGACCTAATAATGTAATATGTAGTACAGTTCTATTATAATACATTATTTTATTGTATAAATTTCATTGTGATAAATTAAATTTATTGTAAACTAGTAGCTTTTTATTATAATTTTGTATAATAAATATATACATACATACGTATATATATTTATTATAGTTTTATATATTTAGTATATTGTAATAATAAAACTAGTAGTTTTACTATAATATTTTATTACATATTCATTATAACAAATTAAATTTACAAACCAATTACTTTATTATAATTTTATAATAATTTTATGATAATATAATATTATTATAATTTTATACAATAAATATATAATATATATATATATTATATATTACATATAATTTCATTGTAATAAATTAAATTTATTATAAACTAGTAGCTTTATTGTAATAATAAATCTAATAGTCTTACTATAATAAATTATTTTATTACATAAATTTCATTATGAAAAATGAAATTTATGACAAGCTAATAACTTTATTATAATTTATTACGTTCATTTTACGTTATATATTACGTTTTATATGACATATTATGATAGAATTATTATAATTTTATCATAACAAACCATTCGTCTTCCATTTCCAATTCCAATAAAGATTGTAACACACGATTGATACTCTGCCCGTTTCCGTCAAACTTCACAAGCCGAAACTTTCCATATCACACCCGAGCAAATTAACAAATTCAACACGCTATTATTTGAAAAATGTTAACAATCCGCGCTATTGAAGAGTGACAAAAAAAAAAAAAAAAAAAAAAAAGGAAAACCATCAAACTGCAGAGGATGCACTCTGTAGTCCGTTGCAACCAAACTTCGCGAATCCAGATATCCAACTGAGATGCCAAAGGCATCTGAAACACGGTTTCCAAAGCGCGTTAAACAACGACAGGCCATTAAAGTGCAAGGAAAAGCAGCCCCGTGACTCGAGTGCGTCGTCTTCTCCGCGTGGCCGGTTGAAAGTCGCCGATAAACACACTCGGAGGATTAGCCAAGAGTCAGACCGCAGCCAGACCTTGCACGGCTCGGTAGCCTTCTCTCGACGCGCTATCTCGGGCTAATTGCACGTAATAACTAACACTGGTGCCTGGACTCGAGACTCCAACGCTATTTATGGCAGTTTCTCGCGGACAGCCTCGCGGGATCAAAGAAAACGACGTGTTGTTTGCCTGCCTGTCTCTCTTCTCTCTAAGAAAGACTAGAACCACTAAACGATTAACCTCTTGCGCTGGAATGACGTACCACGCACGTCGAGAATTTTTTGTCCTAAAAATATTTCCAATATTCCCTCAGTTTTAAGCATATTTAAGTATAACCGAGGCAAAACAAATAATAAATTTATTACTTCCTAGTAATTTCTATCCAGTGATATCGTACCGACGAGTTCAAAAGAANCAAAATTGCAATATTTCCTCAGTTTTAAGCATATTTAAGTATAACCGAGGCAAAACAAATAATAAATTTATTACTTCCTAGTAATTTCTATCCAGTGATATCGTACCGACGAGTTCAAAAGAAAAAGAAAGCGTCGAATTATTGTATACGGTTTTGGTCACTCGTTAAGGTCTGCAATCAGTTGCCAACGCAATTGGCTAATCTCTTGCGCTGGAATTTGTCCCAAAATTGCAATATTTCCTCAGTTTTAAGCATATTTAAGTATAACCGAGGCAAAACAAATAATAAATTTATTACTTCTTAGTAATTTCTATCCAGTGATATCGTACCGACGAGTTCAAAAGAAAAAGAAAGCGTCGAATTATTGTATACGGTTTTGGTCACTCGTTATGGTCCGCAATCAGTTGCCAACGCAAGTGGTTAACCTCTTGCGCTGGAATATGTCACAAAATTGCAATATTTCCTCAGTTTTAAGCATATTTAAGTATAACCGAGGCAAAACAAATAATAAATTTATTACTTCTTAGTAATTTCTATCCAGTGATATCGTACCGACGAGTTCAAAAGAAAAAGAAAGCGTCGAATTATTGTATACGGTTTTGGTCACTCGTTATGGTCTGCAATCAGTTGCAACCAATTTCTTGTTGGAAACGCGCACTGAAAAGTGGTACATTGTATTTTATATGTAAGTTACAGTGTAATATTATATGAGAACAGTGAATGTTGAAACTGTTGTGATTTTATTACAACTTGTTTAATTTAAAAAGAAAGAATATGAAAGATACAGTAATGAATGATTTGATCTCGTTTCGAAATTCGAGTTTCAAAAGTGTATTTGTTCACTGATTCTGAAAATCAATCTTCACAATATATTACGCGAAGACACTTGTTTACTTTAAAAATTAATCTTCACAATATATAAAGTGAAGACACTTGTTGCCAGCGCAAGGGGTTATGCGTAAAAATTTCTATCAGAGACATATTTATTTTTTATATATATATATATACACTAAAGAAATCTGAAAGAAAGAGGAGAAGAAAAACGAACTAAGAGAAAGATTAGAAGAGAAGAGAGGAAAGTGGAAACGAGAAAGGGAGACGGAGAGATCAATGAAAATCGCGAGAGAGGGAAGAGAGAAGGAGAGATTTTCTTGGATTTTCTCGTCTCTCGATGGTCGCCTCGCCTCGGAGTAATTAAAGGCCGACAAATGACGAGAGCGCTCGCAGCCTTGGGCACGGGTTACAGCGCGAACGACCCAGATTCACCTGCGTATTGCGAATACCCGACGACCACTCGACGATTCAGCCGGGCTTTTTTTCAGACTTACGTGAGAATTGCTTTTTTTCTTTCACGATCGTTGCTTGCTCGGCGAAACCTGCGGTTTCCTCGCTGATATGTACCTGGAATTCGAATCAAATTCGGCGGAATTTTTGAGGAGAATTTTCTCCAAGGACGTTGTTGAAGGAACGTTCGAATTGGTGATTGATTGTTTCGTCGGTGGTTTGTCCAATTAAACTGACTGCGGAATTCTTGGACATTTTGGACATTGGACATTTGTTGGAGACGTTTTAAAGTGCACAGTATCTAAAGTATAGCGTTTTATACTATGTTTGGTACATACATAGAGAATATTTTTATCGAGCTTCTGCTTCATTTTTTTTTTACTACATTTTCGAAAAATCCACGTTTTTTCATTGCGTAGCGATGATGAAAGAGAATTGTAAAGAGAAGCGACAATTTCATCAGCGAGGACTTTTGAAATTCTTAGAAAATGAATAATATGAATAAGATACATAATAAAAAGAGTATAATAAATAAGGTATAATTGTATTTTGGAATTTTTAGGAAATGAATGAGATGAATAAGATACATAATAAAAAGATGAATAAGGTATAATTGTATTTTGGAATTTTTAGAAAATGAATAAGATGAATAAGATACATAATAAAAAGATAAATAAGATATCATTCATATATATTATAATATTATAATTAATCAATAAATAAGATAAATAATAAACTTTTCAAATCTTCAGGAAATAAACGAGGATTTTGTAATAATTGTAGCAATTATATTTGACTAAAAGACAAATTCAGTTTTTTTAATCTGTATATGTCCTCTATTGTTCTGAATATATATTGCTCTAATTATTACAGACTAATTCTTAATATATTGTTAGAATATATATATATATATTGTTATGCAGATTAATTCTTGATACATATTAGAATCCACTTTTCTCAGAAAGTTCGTTTCTTATCGTTAAAAACAACAGGACACAGACTGATAATCACAGAAGATAGATAATCATTTGATTTTCTACAAGAAAAATACCAAAATTAATTATTCGTCAGACTTAAATTTAAAATCCCAACCCCTACAGAATTTTGTCGCCGTCGTCGTCGATCTCGTCCCAGAACCCCCGTTCTTCATCTTCCCTCGGCGAACACTCGAGAGTCGAGAGAAAAAAATCGCGGCAGGGAAAACCGGGTAACCCGCTGTGTGTCCCCATGGCCCCTCGAGCCTTCACCCGAGGGTCCTGAAGCGGAATTCACGCGGTTACCATCACCTTTCGCGCACCACGTTTCGATCCGTGACATCTAGGTTATTCCAATAAAGTGCACTCGAGGAGCTTCTAAACGGCGACGAGGGTGCGCTGACCAGAAATCAGATTTCACAGTCGTGGACCGTGATCGTTCACCGGGACAACTGCAGCCAGCTGCACTGAGAGATTGATCGACCATTAATTTTCCGCGAGACAATTTCCAGTGACACGTTTCTAGCGTGTTTCGAACGACGTGACGTTTTGGTAACTTGGAATTCTGGTGTCTTCAGCGAAGACGGCAGTAATCGTCTGTTTCATATACTTCTTCTTTCCTCTTTTGATATTTTCTCTGTAAAAAGAAGTTTTTTTTTTATATTTTTCTATAAATATTCTGTGATTTTGTCTGCTTGACTTATTTTTTCCTTTTCTTTTTTTTGATGTTTCTCTGTAAAGAGTATTTTTCTATAAATTTTCTATAATGTTGTCTGTTTGGTTTATTTCTTCTTTTTTCTCTTTTGGTATTTTCTCTGTAAAGATAAAGAGACATTTTCTTTTGTAAAATGTATTTTCTTATAAATTTTCTGCTCGATTTATTTCTTTTTTTGATATTTTTGTATAAAGAGAATTTCTTCTGTAAAAAGTAAAGTATTTTTCTATAAATTTTCTATGATGTTGTCTGTTTGGTTTATTTCTACTTTTCTCTTTTCTCTGTAAAGAGACATTTTCTTTTGCAAAATGTATTTTTTTATAAATTTTCTGCTTGATTTATTTCTTTTTTCTTTTTTGATATTTTTGCATAAAGAGAATTTCTTCTGTAAAAAGTAAAGTACTTTTCTATAAATTTTCTGTGATGTTGCCTATTTGGTTTATTTCTTCTTTTCTCGTTTGGTATTTTTCTTTTTTGATATTTTTGTATAAAGAGAATTTCTTCTGTAAAAAGTAAAGTACTTTTCTATAAATTTTCTGTGATGTTGCCTGTTTGGTTTATTTCTTCTTTTCTCGTTTGGTATTTTCTCTGTAAAGAGACATTTTCTTCTGTAAAATGTATTTTTTTCTATAGATTTTCTGCTTGATTTATTTCTTTTTTCTTTTTTGATATTTTTCTATAAAGAGAATTTCTTCTGTAAAAAGTATTTTTCTATAAATTTTCTGTGATTTATTTTGTTTGGTTTATTTCTTCTTTTGGTATTTTCCTATAAAGAGAATTTCTTCTGTGAAAAGTATTTTTCTATAAATTTCCTGCGATTTCATCTGGTTTGGTATTTTTCTATAAAAAGTAGTCTTTCTACAGTATAAAGTATCCAAATGCTTTTGTCCATTAAAGTTCTACTTTTATAAATTATATATAGTTTCAAAAAATATGAATTTTGACGAAAGAATGCAGAGTTCTATTGATTGCTTAGAAAAGAAAATAGATTGTTGGAGATCGAAGAGATCGTTGGAGATAGAAAAGAAAACAATTTGTTTGAAGATTGTAAATGTGTCGGCATCAAATTGAGAATGTACAACGTGACACGGGAATTTCGTTTCTCAACCTAAAGGTTCATCGTTATTCGAGGCGACCTCCCGAGAAATGTTTATTCGATTGTTTCGAGACAGCTATTTTTTTTTTTTTGAAGACGAGACTCGAAAGCGTGTCTTTTAACACGTGATTCGATTCGAATCACGAATCGGACACGATGAAAAAAAAAAAAGAGCAACGTGAGAGATAAAGCGAATGACAGTTCTCAATAAAGGGCGCGAGAAGTTCGCATCATTGAAATTCATCTTTTCCATTAAGCTTCTAGCCTCGTGCACGATTTTTTACACACGCAGTGTTTCGGTTTCTGAAAAATTCATCGATCAAATGGTAATTCAACTGTTGTCAAATATTTTAGCATTTTCTTTTCGTACTGTTGAGAATGTTAAATGTATACTCGAAAGTATTCGAACAATCGTAGGAATTTTCTTTAGTGAATGTAATGTACGTGTTGATATTTTATGAATATACTCGATGTGCGGATATTTATTGAATTTATGAATACGTGTATGAATATTTTATGAATATTGAATATGTATGAATATTTTGGTACTTCGTTGATTACGAATACCATTATATCATATTATAAATTAGTTTTGATTAATTTCCGAATTTCATTATGTAAGTACGTCGTTAATATTCAATTCTCGGGGACTTCCACGAGTTCATTCATCCCGGGAAAATGTATAATTTATGTGAACCTCTCAGAAGTCGAACTGATCAGTTTCACCTTTCATTAATGTTTTATTTCCATTACGTAAGTGGAGTATCGATATTCAATTCTTGAGAAAAAGAAAAATCAAATGACAAGTTGTGATAATTGTAAATTCTGAGATTTAAAAAAGAAATGGACAAAGAAATATTACTATCATTTTTCTAAATCTTTCAATTTATGAACATAATCAACTGCTTATCTCAGACGAGAGAAACTGGATTAATAAACGAAACAAACAAATAATTAAATCAACTGTACCTTTTATTAACTTCGCATTTCCATTAGACGAATCCACTATTGATATTCAATTCTATAAAAAAAGAAAGAAAAAAGAAACGATAAGTTTATCCATCTTAGAAGATGGCACAAAAATAATTCTAAATTCTAAGATGAAAGGAGATCAAGAAATATCATCATCACTTTTTCAAATCTAAATTCGTGAACGTCAACTTCTCACGCACATAAAAAAATCGCCTCAGGGACAAACTGGATGAAGAAACCCAACAAATGCTTGAGCCTTGCAACAATTAAAATTTAAAAAATTAGAAAATTAAATGCACTCTTTCATCTGTCCATTTTCCGTTGGACAATATTCAAGCTCACAGATCCAAGGAGCAATCCCGTAAATTCTGAGCCAAAAGAAAGACATTGTCATCACTGTTCTAAGCCTAAAATTCGCGAGCTTGATCAACTTTATATAGAGTTCTATACCTTAAACAAACAATCACTGACAAACGAGACGAACTGGATGAAAAGGAACGAATGGATCAACAATAACAACAGTTGAATCACAGTGGGGAAACATTCCACTACAACGGCCAATTCCTCGACAACGACGAAACTGTCGTTGAAATGTTGCGACGAATGTTGTGTGAACGAATGTCAGGGGGTGTTTGCGGGCGTCTGGTGCGTGTCTGGACGTCGCGATAAATTCGTGGAACCGGACAAATTGCACGGCGTGAAAGTGGGAGACGAGGCGGAAATAAGACAGGCTAGGAGGAGCCAGGGCGTAGAGAGAGCGAGAAACAGCTGGAGGTCGTAGCTCGCGGGACGTTGCGCCGCGACGTATTGATTGCAGAGACGCCGGCGCCGCGACGCTGCCTTCCGCCATAAAAGCCCTGCGCGCCGCGGGCCGTCGTGTTTGCGTGAATTCACCTGTCCTCCGAGCCCCCAAAAGCCAGGAAACCAGCGATATTCCAACGACCGACTTCTCCCGCTCTCTCGCTTCTCATCCTCCTTTTCACGAACTTCTCAGAAACTCTGAAACTCTTTTCTGGAACGAAAAGACAGAAAATTAGAAATTTTCTTTCATGTTTCTTTAGATAGGAACGAATCCATTATTGCAACTGCTGTAGAAGTATATTAAAAATTTCTCCCTTTCTTCTCTTGCTTGGTACACTTTTGTAGTTTAGATGGGCAAATATTTGAGTAATAATATCAAAGTTTTTAGTAATAATATCAATTTAACTAATATCAGTTTTGTATTATCTTTGTGATAATATATTTAGGTTCTACTTTTCAGTCGTATATTTTCAAGCACTAGTATACACGTGGAAAAATATTTGAAGTAGGTCTCAGTAACGATATCAATCTAACTAATATCTTACTAATATCAGTTTACTAATATAATATCAGTTTTCTATTATCTTTATGATAATATATTTAGGTTCTATTTTTTAGTTGTATATTTTACATACTAGTATACACATAAAAAATATTTGAAGTAGTTTTTTCAGTAATGATATCAATCTGACTAATATCAGTTTTCTATTATCTTTATGGTAATATATTTAGGTTCTACTTTTCAGTCGTATATTTTCAAGCACTAGTATACACGTTGAAAAATATTTGAAGTAGCTCTCAGTAATAATATCAATCTAACTAATATCAGTTTTCTATTATCCGTATAATAATGTATTTAGGTTTTATTTTTCAGTCGTATATTTTCAAACACTAGTATACACGTGGAAAAATATTTGAAGTAGGTCTCAGTAATGATATCAATCTAACTAATATCTTACTAATATCAGTTTACTAATATAATATCAGTTTTCTATTATCTTTATGATAATATATTTAGGTTCTACTTTTCAGTCGTATATTTTCAAGCACTAGTATAGACATGGAAAAATATTTGAAGTAGCTCTCAGTAATAATATCAACCTAACTAATGTCAGTTTTCTATTATCTGTATAATAATGTATTTAGGTTTTATTTTTCAGTCGTATATTTTCAAGCACTAGTATACACGTGGAAAAATATTTGAAGTAGGTCTCAGTAATAATATCAATCTAACTAACATCAATTTTCTATTATCTTTGTGATAATATATTTAGGTTCTACTTTTCAGTCGTATATTTTCAAGCACTAGTATACACGTTGAAAAATATTTCAAATAGTTCTCAGTAATGATATCAATCTAACTAACAGCAATTTTCTATTATCTTTATGATAATATATTTAGGTTCTACTTTTCAGTCGTATATTTTCAAGCACTAGTATACACCTAAAAAATATTTACAATAGTTCTCAGTAATGATGTCAATCTAACTAACATCAATTTTCTATTATCTTTATGATAATATATTTAGGTTCTACTTTTCAGTCGTATATTTTCAAGCACTAGTATAGACATGGAAAAATATGTGAAGTAGTTTTCAAATAATAACTAGTATGTGAAACAATTTTCTTTAACTGAATCTTTATCTAGAAAATTTCTAGATAAAGATTCGTAAGACATTATCATATTAACAAAATAAAGTATAAAGAGATATGAACAAAATAAAGTATAAAGATCTACGAGAAAATTTCTAAGAGAATCGTAGAGCGACGTTAGATATATCAGAAGACGTGATATATTGAAAATTGCAAGAAGATTTCACAGTCTGGAGGCAAAATGTTTCGACTGCTTCTAGGGCTAGAGACCGACCGTATTCCTTAAATTTTTAAGCGAGTTCCCGTCTGGAATCTCGTATAAGGAATCTCACTTCGAAACTTTATTTACGATTTCTCCCTCAGCAGACGCGTGGGTGGAGAATTCGGAGAAGCTTGGCGAAAGAAATTTCGCTCCAGCACGCACGTCTTACACGATTCTTCAGAAGCCTTTCAGCACGCCTCTCAAACGAAGCGTGTACTCGTAAAATTTCAATAGACAATAACTCGAACGATAAACGAGAGATTCTAAGAGGAACAGAAGAGCAAAAGAGCTTTATGGATTTACCACGAGAAAAAAGAAAAAAAGAAGAAAGAAAAAAATAGAAAATTTCCAAGAGCGATAAAAAGGTGACTTAAAGTATAAAGTTAAATTTAAAGACCATCGGAATACTTATGTTTTCATCGACTGAGAATATTAAGATATATATCGAATATATATATATTAAAACAGTAACAAAAGTACAGAAGATATCCAGAAAGTCACTAAAATTGTCAAATTTTGTTACTTTATACAATTTAGAAAATAAATAAATTAGGAAAATTCATAAATTTGGAAAATAAATAAATTAGGGAAATTCATAAATTTGGAAAATAAATAAGTTTGGAAAATTAATAAATTTGGAAAATAAATAAATTAGGAAAATTAACAAATTTGAAAAATAAATAAATTAGAAAATAAATAAATTAGATCAATAATTTATTTACTGCTCTTTTACGTATATTTTCTAAGCTAATTTTTATGAAAAAATTTTTCATAAGCTGTTCGATTCGAAAGAAATGAGAGAGGAAAGTAAAAATAGTGTATCGGGTATGGTGATCCGCGAGCGAAAGAGAAAGTTTTCAACATATTTTTACAGACATTGCAATAATGGAACCAATGATGAATTCGTTCTTAATTTCACCTACTGACCATTAATATTGTCTGTGTGTGCGTGTTTCTTACTTGTTCGGCGTCAACAATTATGGACTAATTGCGCGCGGGTATCGATGAATAGCGGCTCGCCTTCGAAATGAATCCATTATACGACCGGTAATCGCACCGGGACATTTTCCTGTGATTTACATCGACCGTCATCGTCGCCATTACTATTCATCGACTTATGTTCGAGGAAAATCTCTGAAGAAAGAAAAAAGAATTCTAACGATCTAATAAATGGAAATTTATGATACATTTGATTAAAAAGGAACGAAGAAGTAGTGTACGTACATTCGTGTAAAGTTAATGTTGCAAAAGAGTTTAAACGAAATTTTATTCGACATTTATTTGATCAGATTTACACGCTTGCGATTGTTTATTTTTACTTATCAAGTCTATTGGTGAAACGTGCGTGAGAAAATATTTCGATGGAAATCGTAAAGAAATTCTGGAGACTGTTCGACTTTCCTTGAGAAGGAAACGAAGAATGTGCAAACCTCTGAAAGAAAATAAGCTACAAACGAGTTATTTCTTTTCGGAGAACATCTCGATATAGTTATTTTATTATTCATCGAATCTTTCTTTTTGTATTTCTTTCGAAATGAATGTTTTTCAAAACAATATCGACGTATTTTCTATTGGATATTGACAACAAGAATGTTTATCCTGAAGGGGAAGAAAAAATAAAAAAAAGGAAAGAAATATTCTGAATTGATTTTTGAAAATAAATTTTCTTCCAGTAATTTCTAGACTAGTAAATTATTTACAAACTAGTGACAAACTAGTAAATAGTAACTCTAACTAGTAAATTATTGTTATACTAACTTATTATACTAAATTGTACTATAAATTTGGAGTAAAGGTAAATTTCCTGACCTAAATCTAATCCAAACAAAAATTATACTAACTTATTATACTAAATTATACTATAAATTTAGAGTGAAGATAAATTTCCTAACCTAAACCTAACCCAAATCTAATGTAAACAAAAACTGTACTAATAAATTTAGAGTAAAGATAAATTTCCTAACCTAAACTTAATTTAAACTTAACCTAAATCTAATCTAAAAAAAAAAATTATATTAACAAATTTAGAGCGAAGATAAATTTCCCAACCTAAACCTAACCTAAACAGAAACTATATTAATAAATTTAGAGTAAAAATAAATTTCCTAACCTAAACTTAATTTAAACTTAACCTAAATCTAATCGTAAACAAAAACTATACTAATAAATTTAGAGTAATGATAGATTTTCTAACCTAAACCTAATTTAAACTTAACCTAAATCTAACCTAAAAATAAAAATTGTACTAACAAATTTAGAGTGAAGATAAATTTCCCAACCTAAACCTAACCTAAATCTAATCTAAACAGAAACTATACTAATAAATTTAGTATAAAAATAAATTTCCTAACCTAAATCTAATTTAAATTAATTTAACCTAAATCTAATCTAAAAAAAAAAAATTATACTAACAAATTTGGAGTGAAGATAAATTTCCCAACCTAACCTAAATCTAATCTAAACAGAAACTATACTAATAAATTTAGTATAAAGATAAATTTCCTGACCTAAATCTAATTTAAATTAATTTAACCTAAATCTGATCTAAAAAAAAAAAAATTATACTAACAAATTTGGAGTAAAGGTAAATATCCCAATCTAAACCTAGTCTAATCTAAGTCTAATCTAAAGGAAAATTATATTAACAAATTTAGAGTAAAGGTAAATTTAAGGGTTATGAATAGGTTATTACTCGAAACGTTGCTCCAGCAGAAACTATTGTCTGGAAAACGTATTAATTAACTCTCGCTACTCTCTGGCGTCGTGCACGCAGCGTGCGGTGGGCGAGGTTGCACGAACGAGCCCCATTGTACGGAATCGATCGATCGGCAATCATCGAGAGGAATGCACGGACAAGTACTTGGCGATGTTTTTCGCGCAATTCCATTGCATTGACACGATGTTTCGCGGGGAAAGAAGTCGAGATTCCGTTGAAGAGCTCCCCAACGCGTGCACGTGACAACCGACGATTTTTCGTTTTCTTTCTTCGCTTCGACTTCGGTGAAGTCGTCGAGGAAATTTCATTTCTCGTTCTTTTTTTTTCTTTTTTCCTTTTTTCTTTCAATTTCACTAGTTTCACTGTCTCCGGTCTTCGTTCTTCGTAGATTTATCCGTCTCGACTCTGAAATTGCGTTAATTAATAAATATTCAGTTCCGAATCATCTGTTTCGATATATTGTTATTCAGTTTGCTTCAGATCCTTCGAAAATTTGAAACAAACTAAAATAACATTATAATAATGTGATAATTATTATATTGTGTTATTAACATTACATTATCATATTATGTAATATATATTAATTAAATATCTTCAGTTTATTACATACTACCTTTATAATTACGGCAATAATAATTTGTATTGCAAATGGACCTATATTCACTAAACTAATTTTTATGAATAAATAAATTATTTATTTATTGCTCTTTTGCGAATATTCTCTAAACTAATTTTTACGAAAAATTTTTCATAACAGCTGTTCGATTCGAAAGAAATGAGAGTAAATGTCTTCATTTTATTACATGCTACCTTTATAATTACGGCAATAATAAATTTCTAAATTTCTAAAAATCACAAACAGACAACAGCAGACGCCAACAAGTTCGAAGCAAAACGTTCGAAGCGAAGTGAAACCAATCAAATCAGAATTCGCAAATCGTAATCCTCTTCTCGAGAACTCGACCGAACAACCCCAATTCTCAACCCTCGTCGTGTCGTTATGCACAGTAATCATCTTCTCGCGTTTTACGTATCTATATACGTGCTTTCAATTTTTCGTCCGACTCGCCATAGAAAGGAAGCCCTCGCAAAGAAGAACGAGAATAAGAAGAAGAAGAAGAATCGAATAGAGGATAGCTGGTTCGTTCCGCTCGCGCGATTTTTGCCGGCCGCAAAAACCGCAACTCGACCAAGAAAGAGGAAGAGAGGGAGCAAGAGAGAGAGAGAGAGAGATAAACATAACAAAAAGAAGAAGGCGAGAAAGAAAAGGGTCGGTGTGGGCGGGCCACGCCTTCGCGTTCGTACGACTTTTAATAATCGGGCCGATTTATCAATGCGCCGCGGCCCTAATTAGTAAGCAGCGCCCCCTCCAACCAAAGTTCTTTTTCAACCTGCGTTCCTGTCTACCTTACCTACCTATCGTCGCGTCGCTGCGGGGCCTTTCTTCGCCTGAATCAACCGAACCACCAAGAGGGTTGAACGAGCCAACGAACGAGTGGCTGTCATTTCTTCTTCTCGTCGCTTCTTAATTAAAGGATATCACGTGCCCCTCGGATGAGTTTCCAAGTAATTGATTTTTATTTTAATCGCCTTCTGCCCGCGGCGAGAGGGACGAAGGGGGGGAGGGAGGGGGAGGGATGTCGAAACGGTTCGACCTCTCTCACTATGGTTCCTTCCAGAGCGTTTGTTTGTTCGGCAATTTGTAATCTGTTCTTACAATTGGCGAAACCTTTTCGAACTGTGACTTTGAATTTTGATTAAGTCTGAGCCTTCGATCTAAAGTAATTAATCTTTCGATAGTCGGTTTGGTAGGAGCGGAAACAAGTGTTTGGAATTTGGAAGTTTGTTTTCAATGTTTTAACATTCGCGAAACAAGCAAATATCGTTTTCAAATGTTCGAGAAAATTGTGCCACAGGCCAAATTGTAAACTGAACAAATTTCGTTTGAGTCTTTGATTTAAATTAATTAACTTTCTGATATTCGGTTTGATGGTAGCTGAAACAAGTGTTTGGAATTTGGAAGTTTGTTTTCAACGTTTTAACATTCGCGAAACAAGCAAATATCGTTTTCAAATGTTCNGAGAAAATTGTGTCACAGATCAAATTGTAAACTGAACAAATTTCAAATGCGATTAAGTTTGAGTTTTCGATCTAAATTAATTAACTTTCCGATAGTCAATTTGATAGTAGCAGAAACAAGTGTTTGAAATTTGGAAATTTGTTTTCAACGTTTTAACATTCGCGAAACAAGCAAATATCGTTTTCAAATGTTCGAAAAAATTGTCATAGGCCAAATTGTAAACTGAACAAATTTCAAATATGATTAAGTTTGAGTCTTCTATCTAAATTAATTAACTTTCCGATATTCGGTTTGATGGTAGCTGAAACAAGTGTTTGGAATTTGGAAGTTTGTTTTCAACGTTTTAACATTCACGAAACAAGCAAATATCGTTTTCAAATGTTCGAGAAAATTGTGCCACAGGCCAAATTGTAAACTGAACAAATTTCGTTTGAGTCTTCGATTTCAATTAATTAACTTTCTGATATTCGGTTTGATGGTAGCTGAAACAAGTGTTTGGAATTTGGAAGTTTGTTTTCAACGTTTTAACATTCGCGAAACAAGCAAATATCGTTTTCAAATGTCCGAGAAAATTGTGCCACAGATCAAATTGTAAACTGAACAAATTTCAAATGCGATTAAGTTTGAGTTTTCGATCTAAATTAATTAACTTTCCGATAGTCAATTTGATAGTAGCAGAAACAAGTGTTTGAAATTT